TTGTACAAAATACAAATTTGTTAGATTTCAAAATAAACAATCGTTCAGACCATAAATGTAGCAACGCAAAATATGAATGCAGAGCAAAAACTATTTGTTCAAAGACAATGGCGTGGGATAACATTATGGTCGTCTAATCAGACTGACGGTCTTTCGAAAAATGCGTCATTTTTTCGAAACAAACAATCGAACACCTTGCCGCATTTGAGCTTGGATGATTCACTTCAAAAACGTGTCTGGCATTAGCCAAAGCACCGTTGACGATCATCAACAAAAGCTATGAATTTGTTTGATTGCTTATTTATTGAGTGTCATAAAAAGTCAATAACACTTGTTTTGAATTTGGTATTTATTTGCAGTTAGTTGTTGCTACTTGTATTGTTGACATTTTTATGAACATGAAACAATTTTACAATATTTTTAGTAATAGTTGAACAACTATGGTATTGAGCGTTCTTCCTACAAGCGGAACAAGAATATGTTGTACATGTATGTTTTCAAATATTTATGATATATTACATGCGTGCATTTTTTGAGGGATGCTCATGATTGTTGTAATTCAAAAAAAAAAAAAAAAATGATAACAATTTTTATGACAAAAAAATAGTTTCATATGATGTTCTACAATGTTTTTTTTTCATCATAAAACATAAAAATATCATAAAAATATCAAAAAAAAAAAAAAAAACCAAATAAGCTTATATACATATGACTTTGTTGACTTAACAAGCAAATCTCAAAAATTAAAAACAAATTTATTTTATATCCATTGCCAACTAATATGCACATGCTGTCCTGTTCTGTAGCATTAAACGTAGGTTGTCATGGGTTTGAGTTTGATAAATAATTATAATTTTGGGGGAAATAGTAGATAAACATGAAATAATTTTTTGATAGTGGCAGTGTTTTTATACCCTACAATACTATGTGTTGGGGGTTTTATAAGTTTGATTGGGCCAAAAATTTTGTAACACTTCGAAATATTGGTTTCTCAAATAGGAAAGTATGTATGGATCTTCCTATCTCGCCGAGCTGAGTCGATCTAGCTATGCATATCCGTCCGTCCATGTTAATTTGAAATCACGCTACAGGTCGCAATTATGGTCCGATCCTCACGAAATTGAAAATGGAGATTGGTTTATGGTCAGAATAGAAGCATATTGATTTGGAGATAATATTTAGGGGTTGAAATGGATCAAAAACTGAAAAATTTCCTAATTTTGCAGTTGCTCGCAATTATAGACCAATCGAAGCGGAAGTAAGCATGGGGCTAGAGCTTAGTTGTAGACAGGAGCCTTCTAATTTTGATGGTCATCGGATAATATTTAGTGGGAGAAATAGACCATAACAGTTGTGTTATATAAAAGTCAAATTTTCATTAAACCGTGAATATTTTTAATCACTGCGAAATCACAAATAAACGAAAAGGTCAATTCTGACCGTTACGTAGATGCCGATAGTAAATATATATACAATTCAGAATGCCCTCTTGGCTAAAAGAATAAAAAAAATCGCATAAAAAGATGCCAATAATGATGTTAATATAGACTTTTTGATATTTTTTCATATTTTTTACCGCATGCGATTTTTCAATGTGACTCAACACAGGTTGGGGTTATTATGTACAAATTTCAATTATCGTCCAATCCTCACGAAAAATTTCACAAGGCTCAGAAGGGCTAGGCCTATTGTTTTTAAAGATGTCGGCAATATATTTAGGGGTTGAAATGGGCCAACAACTAATAATGTTCCTGATTTTGAAGCCGTTATAAGGGTCACAAATATAAACCAAACCACACGAAATATCACATTAATTTGGAGTTTAGGACAGCGGGTAGAATGACCCACTACTTTTGTGTAAAAAAACACCAACAATTCCATTCTACAAAACGCTGAAAATAACTTACAGGCGGAGTCCAAAATACACAAATGACGAACTTCTAGCTTTTTAATGCTGATTTCGTTGACGAATATAGCCAAATATCGTAAACAAGCAAATCATATAGATGAGATGATCGCAAAATATTTAGGGGTTCAAATGAAACAAAAAGAGAAAAATTTTCCTGATCACAAAATTAAGACAAATCGACACAGAATTTTGAATGGTAAGCGAATTAAGGATAGGGAAGAAGTCTAGCATTTTGGATGAGCATTGGATTATATTTAGCTGTAAAATGGACCACAACAGCTAACAGCACGACGCAGTTTGTAAATATTGGCAAATGTCCCTAGCCAAAAAGCTAAGTGTAATATGTGGGCTGTGCTCTATGACATAATTTCAAAGACGAAATCTTCCAAAATGGACCTTCTCATATGTTGTAGGGTATCACATGATCGGCCTCTTGTTGTTTGCCATTTGGGGCATTCTGAATGTTAACATGATATAATCACTACAAGGTAGTTTGATTACATATAAAAAAAAAAAACTCCGAAACTAGAATGGAATGGAGTTTTTAAAGAATTTAAAATTATTTTGTACTGTGTTGAACTCAACACTTAAAAAGTGTGTATATATTTTGAAATTACAACCTTGATCCTTTAAAAAGAATATTTTATCATTATTGTGTGTCGGTCCGCGTGTTCGTATGTTAAATTGCAATCAATGCATATGTTATATTTTCTGTAATATTTTGTGATATTATAGCTATCATTTCATACGACCAAAACGCGCCTCATCAAAATAACGGGTTTAGAACCCAGGTCTCCAGGACCAATTCCGTTTCAGAACATTTTGAGTCGATGTCCGTCCGTCTGTCTGTTTGTCTGTCTGACTTGTACGCACGATAACTCTCACAGGGAGTATGCGATTTGGTCCAAAGTACAAAATTTATTATTAAACTTTAAAAATTGTTTTGTCCTTTTTTACTGTTAGCCTAATACCATTGCAAAGGCGTTGGCGGGTCAATGCTTCTTAATAAAGTCATATCCCTATCTGTAACGATTTAAATTTAATTTGATACAATTTACTTTTACACCAAATTCCGTCACACCTTCCACATTTCATTGATATTGGAGTTTGGTGCATTAAATAAATCGGCCGAAAAAATACAAGGAAGCTATATCCAAATATGTACCGACTTCAATATAATTTGAAAAAGTTATTTTCTGATCAAATCCCGTCGCACATTCCAAATTTCATTGGAATTGAACATACACATCGTATTTGGTGTAACAATAATTGAAATTGGTCGAAAATAATATATGGGAGACATAACCAAATCTTAACCGATTTCAACATAATTTGGCCAATTTATTTTCCCGTCACATAGCTTGTTTGGTGCATCTAATATAAAATCAAAATTTTAACTCCTATTCTGATGCTATATCTCCAGTTCCAAGTGGAATTTCAAAAATTTACATAGCATATGTTACTTTCAGGCAATGTTGTAGTATACATGCAAATTTTCAGAAAAATCTATGCAGCGGTTTTATATCATCAACACAAGATATGTTATAAAGATGGTAGATATCGGACCATTTCTTCTGGTACCTCCCCCAAAAAGGGTAAACAACAATTATAAAATCCGAAATTAGCATCCGGTTATCTTCGCATTTCACACAACTCATTATTTTTATTGACACAAGATCTGCCATGAAGATGGGATATATCGGTCCACTACTTCTGGTACCTCTCAAACAAAGGGTCAACATTTTGAATTCTCATAAAACGCGAAATAAATATCCGTTTCCATTCAGACATTGTACATCTCAATATTTCCATCAACACAAGACCTGTTATAAAAATGGTAGAGATCGGGACATTCCTTCCGGTACCTCCCCCACACAGGGTTCAAGATTTTGAAAAACAAAACGCTCTTCAAATTTTACACGCACAAGAATTTTTGGTAACACAAGATCAGTGGTGAAGATGATATATATCTACGACCCCCTTCTGGTACCTCACCCACAAAGGGTCACAATTTTCAATACTTTTAACTCTCATAACTTGCGAAGCAAGTTAAGTCTTTACAACTTGCTATAAATCAATATTTCTCTTAAACAGAAACCTGAGATGATCAGCACGCGCCTCCCAAGAATGGTTACAAAATGAGGTTCCTCGCTTCATTTCCAGCCCACCAAAATCTCCGGATACTAATATATAGGACTATTGTGCCTGGAGTATTTCGGAAGGCAAGGTTGGCACTAAAAAATACCAAAGTGTCGATCACCTCAAGCAAGCGCTGCGCCGGCCAAAATACCACAGAGCAACATTCAGGCAACGTGTGACAGTTTCACTGGCCGTTTGAAGGCCATAATTCGTGCCAAATGTGACCAATTCAAACAAATCTAAACTTATTCTAAAAGTTGATGCTATTTCCGACATTTTTTGCTTTCATTTTAAAAAAGAAAAATGTAAAAATTATGGCAATTGACTGTGTTTCAGGTTTTTATCTCACCCTTATATTCAGAGGCTTTTTTGGATATTGATATATCAATATATAGGTTGTAAGTAACCTACTTATCACTTAGCTATTTTCATACGTAGATAATCTAATTGATAAAAACTGTATAAGATAAAAAAACAATTTATTATTGCATGTTATCAAGTGTGTTTCGTAAATTTGATCATTGAATTTCAATGTAAATTTTACTGACTTTTAAAAATTGGGAAAATAAATTAAGAATTGTATTTTGTGAGTCACTGGGTGGGTTCCTTCTTATTGCAAGACTTTTCATCATGTTTAAGCAATGGACCTCTTTCTCATGTAATTTTCAATTTAATACATTTGTAAGAAAAATCCCCTATTTTCCTTAGCAAAATTCCCAAACAGTTCATGGGAACCCCCTGTACGAAGTCATTTTCTTTATTCCATAGAAACATGTTTGTGTGATAAAACTAAAAAAATGTATTTTTTTAAGTTCTGCACACTAAAAGGAAATAAGCTGCGGTGACCTATCAAAGTGTTCGTTGGCCTAACCACAATTCATTGTTTCCATACGACTTCGAAGAAAGTAGAGCTTATTCGGTTCGTCTTGTTTGGACAGTTGGTGGCTAAACCATTCTTAAATATAAATTGCAAGAATTTACGCAAAAATAATTTAGTATATTGCAAACATTTGTTGAAAGCAGAATAAACAGGCAAATACGAGGATACAATGAATTTAAAAACACTTTTTGTATTTTGGGCCTGCACACTTGTGAACATTGAAGCTCTGGTACATTGTTTGAAATTAAAGTGATTAAAATTAATCAAATAAATATTAAAATACAACTCTTTCCCACTACCCCTCCCCCCCTTCTCATTTCAGAACAACTCCACAAATTTCATGAGAAATTATTTAAATTACAATGTCTCGGTTTTGCGCACAGAAAATTATCTCGATTTAAATCGCCGCCAATATGCCGATCACATCTTGGCTTTTGAAAAAGAAATAGATGTTTTTAGGAAACAATTTTCGGAGCGGCTTAGTTCTATTCAGTTGGTATTGGATATGTTGGTGACGGATATTATCAAAACGAACGAACACTTGAATCCGCTGGAGGTTTTAAGTGATATCAGTAAAGATTGTGTGGCCAAATATCGTTCGAAAGTACCAACAGTGGCGGCAACCAAAACCGCGGTGCAAGCATGTATAACAGCCGCCCAGAATCAATTGAATAATATAGTGAGCGCAGCAACGACAACAAAAACAAATCTATATAATTATTATCAAAATAATATGGAGAAAGATTTTAAGGGATGTACAACGAAACATCCGGCACAGGATAACAGTTATACGGAATGTATTGCCAAAGTGGTGAGTATTTAAAACGAAAAACATTTCATTTTGTAGGTTAAGTTAAGCTATATACGCTAATAAATATAAAACAGGTGGTGACTTCAAAATTTATAAAAATATTAACAATCCCGTCGTTCTCTTCTCTATCCCATATTATAAAATAGAAGCTTTTTCGGTAAAAAAAATGTAGCTGATAATTACAGTCTACCTTTACATGACAGATATTCCAAATCTCAAGTAAGGCATGATCGACTTCAAACGTCCTGAGACGGATTGTTGAGTTTAGAGACATTATTGGCTGACGGCCAAATTCATTTGGTGACGATGGTGGTATATCCTGCTGAACGTTTTTTAATTATACCCGCAGACATTCGGCTAGAGAGAGCTAGAATTTAAACCCTAGTCTCTTTGGACCAAATCCGTTTCAGGACATTTGGAGTCGATCTAGCGATGTCCCTCCGCCCGGCCGAAGAGAGTATCCGATTTGGCCCAAACTTGGTATATCGTAATATTATTATCAAACTTAGGCCGAGTTCGGAAATGGGCAATATCGGTATACCTTCTGGTACCTCCTCACAAAGCGTCTCGATTTTCAATACTTTTATCTGACATAACATGCGAAACAAGTCAGCGATTCTTTGCAACTTGCGATATCTAAATTTTTCTACCAACCAAAAATCTGAGATGAATATGGAATCTATGATTTCTCATGAAATTGGATATAAGTGTTCGATTCCCTTGCAATTTTGCCCATACCAAAATTTGTATCTGTATTGGATGAAGTTTGAAAATTGAATACTTCGGTCGACTATATCTGCTACCTCACGCACATTTGTATTCAAAATACCTAAATTTGGCGAAACTAAATGGAAAATTTGACTTAAACTGAAAAGAAACTTGAAGTCGGTATTTATCCTTGTATAAGGTCTATACCAAAAAGTGGATCTACATGACTTCAAACTGTTCTTATATTGTTTACAAGCGTACAAAAAACATTTTGGTGAGAATTTTCCAGAAAAAAAGTTATTCGTGATAGCCACTAGTGGCTATCGTTAGAGCACTCCAGCATTTAAATGTGAATAAATTTTTTGTGTCTCGTATCATCGCTCGCTACCGTGATACTGGTAGCGTAGCCCGACGTCAAGGAAGTGGACGGAAGAAAACAGCAACATCATCAGAAATGGTTCGAAAAGTAAAGAAGCGATTTCATCGAAACCCGCGTCGCAGTCGCTAAAAATGACTCGTGAGCTGAACATGTCGAAATATTTAATTCGGCATATATTGAAAAATGAGCTCGGGGTAAAGCCATTGAAATTCCAAAGAAAACAAGAACTTACACCTCAACAGAAAAAATAGATTCAAAACAGCTAAAGAGTTGCTTCGCTTGGCCGAAAGTGGTGAACTGCCGAATTTGGTTTTCTCCGATGAGAAAACATTCGTTGTCTAGCACTTTGTAAATACCCAAAATTATCGTGTTTACTTGCCAAAGAGGTCAGCTGTAAATGTGCACCTTCGGTTGACCACCGGAACTCAAGCGCCGTCCATGGTGATGATGTGGGCCGCCATAACAGCTGGCCGTTTTAAAGACCAATTCGAACAAATCTAAACTTATTCTAAAAATTGATGCTATTGCCGACATTTTTTGCTTTCATTCAATGAAATTTACAAAAAAAAAAGGAAAATGTAACAATTATGGCGTTTGACTTTGTTGCAGTTTTTTTATCTCACCCTGTATGTAGTTCAATTTTTATATTTTTATTTTAAATTAAGCTTTAAAGAAAATTGTAAAACTCTGTACTAATTATTTCAAACTGCTGTTATTTTCAGATTTCCGCTGTGACCGCCTACACCCGAGTGATGTTGAAACAATTCCACAATCAAATGGACACAGCTCACTGCTCAGCGAATTCGAATATTAAAACTGCATTGGATTGCAGTTACACGGTTCAAAATCGCACCATAACCATGAATGCTGAGGCAAATCTAATGATCAACCGGTGTATTCATGGCCTGGACGATTGTGAGCGTTGCAGTCAGGGACGATTCTGTGAGAATGTTTACTATCTACCCCAGTATCAAGTGGACTATCATAATTCGACAATGTTGAATCCATTCTATGGCCGTAATTCGACGACACATTGTTTGTTGATTGATGTTTATTAAGGTGGTCAATTTTTTTATAAGATTGAGCTTAAGAATTTAAAATGAAGTGTAGTTTTAAAATAAAAATTTTTAATTATTTTTTTTTTAATATAAAAAATTGTATGGATCAAAGATTTATTTGTTTGCTATTGGGTACAAGGAATATAAAAACAATAAAAGATGTTAAACGGCTGCCTTACACAATGGAAATCTTAAGAAAATAATGAATTAAGTCATAGTATTTAGCAACATAAACATTTAAAAGTTTTTTGAATAGAACAACATCGGTTAAGTTTTTAATAAATAAGTCAAACTTCCAATTACAAATAAATATGTTTAAATACAATACTTGATGTTTACTTTGTTATAAAATAGACATACAATTTTTGCGAGCACCTATTCTGTGTAAAATTCTCAGAACAAATGAGAAATTACTGTGGATCCAGCACTTAACTGGGTGTATGAGATAAAAATTATGATATCGTTTAGTTTAATTTCTAAATGAACTATAAATTTAATCAGAAATGTGAACGGATTACTAACAGTTTTATATGGAAGCTATAAACTAGTAAATATAAATATTTAAAAAGTTTATAGTTCGTATTACCACCTGGTGAGGTATTGAGATGCAGTTATTTTTCACAGAAATTGTAACAGCCAGACCGATAGAAAACTTTAAATATAAATATTATAAGAAACGGTGCATAATATAAGTTGACGATGAACTACTTCTCTTGAACCTATGAAGTATAGAGAAAAAAAAACAAGTAAAAAAGTATCGGTCGGTTTTGCCGAAAGATATATACCTTCAGCCCTCTTGACCTTTTATGGAGTGGGTTCTGAAAGAACATTGTCCATTTTGTGAAGTAAGTTGGAAGCTTGCTTCGCTTTCTTTGGGCGTTATGTTTTTCAAAAACTTGAACCCTATGTGGAGGAAGTAGTAAAGAAATGGTCGGATCTCTACCATATTTATCAGAGATTTTTGGTGATGGAAATATTAAGACGCACCATGTCTGGAAGGGAATCGGATGTCGATTTCGTTTTTTATAAACTTCATGGATATTCACAATTTTGAGCATTTGTGGGGGAGGTTCCAGAAGAAGTGGACTGATATATTCCATCTTAACACCAGACCTTGAGTTTATATAAATATTGGGATGTCTGAAATTTGAAGACAATGGGATTCTTATATCACATTTTATGAAAGTTGTAATTATTCAAAATTTTGATCATTTGTGGGGGAGGTACTTGATGGAGAGGACCGATATTATCCATTTTCACTCCTGACGTAGCACTGACGCAAATATTAGGATTTGCAAAGTTGGAGCAAAAACGGATTATCCTTTCTCTTTCTGTGCAAAAAATATATTTTTTTTTGCAAATTTCGACCTTTTGTGGGGGAGGTACCAGAAGGAGTGTACCGATATTGCCCACCTCCGAACTCGATCTAAGTTTGACAAATATATTACGATGTACACAGTTTGGACCAAATCGGATACTCCCTTCGAGAGTTATCATGCGCACCAGCCAGACAGACAGACATCGCTAGATCGACTCCAAATGTTCTGTAACGGATTTGGTCTAAAGAGACCTAGGGTCTAAAACCGTTATTTCCACTATGCACGTTTTGTCCGTATCAAATTATGTATACCCTCTGTAGCCATATGGCTGAGGGTATAATAAAAACATAAATTGTATCTAAATCGGACGTCCTTAAAATTAGGAATAGAAATTCCAAAAAGTGAACTGCCGAATTTGGTTTTCTCCGACGAGAAAACATGCGTTGTCTAGCGGTTTTTAAACAAACAAAATTATCGTGTTTACGTGCCAAAGAGTTTAGCTGAAAAATGATGGTGTTTGACTTTGTTGCATTTTTTTTATCTCACCCGGTATAGTGACGCTTGACGCCGTTGGGCGTCACTGTTATACTGGCCTGACTGTAAAAAAGCCCTATGTATATAAATTAACACATTTTTTAGATGCTCTCATAAAATAAACAGTTTATTACACTGTAGGAAAATTTCCATTTTTCAATATTAAACATGTTTAAAGTATTTGAATGTAGCTTAAACCGCTTTTGCAGCACCATACCAAATGTCCAAGGTTAAGCACTTTTCGGTATTGTTACGGCCATGGAACGGATTAACCATTGTAAGATTTTTATAATCAATCAAATAGGATGGCAGACGAAGGACATTTTCACAATAGTATCCTTTGTTATCACATCCAGAACCCTCTTTCTCAGCCTCATGTAGGCACTGGTCGATGAAAGTGGTGGCACGCTGTAAATTTGTAATGGTACTATTTTGGACGGCAAAACACCATTCATGGGTTTGTTTTGCGTAGACATTCGATGTACCCTTGGCTGTTTCCAATTGTATAGAGAAGGTCCTTTGGTTGGCCGCAGTATAGGAATTTGAGGCGGATACCTGAAAGGGCAAATTTTTTAGCATTAGCTTTTCCAAAGAACATTAATTTTTCAAAAGATTCCTAAACTCACAACATCAGCCAGACAATGGGTATAGTTTACAGGATAGGTAGTATTGTATTGCGTATGACAATTGGAAAGGCCTTTTTCGAAAGTTCCCACATAGTAGTTATTCAAGGTGCGATTTGTCCCAATCACCGGATTGGTTATGTAATACAATTGCGATCTGCCCCATGCAAGGTTACGTTCCATTTCACTATATGCTGCAGCTTCCGATGGTATCAAATGCTTGTATTTCTCCACACACTCTCGACTCAAATCGCTCAGCACTGTCAAGGGAAATAGATTTTCATTGACACGCGTTACTTCATTTACAAGAGCTTTCTGTTGGTTGACAATGGAATTAATGCGATCCAAGTAGGCTTCTTGGAACGACCGGATCTGCTGATCATAACTTAAAATATGGAAATTATTTTGACGTCTTACGGCTTCAATGTATTCATCGTTGCGTATGAGCGAACTATATTGACTGTTGTAATAATTTTCTAAATTCGTCTGGGAATAAAAATTAGGAATTCAAAATAATCTTGAATCATTGATGGTTTTAAAAAGTCCTACTTACATTTTGCTGAGCCCTCACAATGACCAGTAGGGCAAAAAATGCGAAAATCTTTACAAAGACCATTTTGTTGCCACTGGTATCACCTAAGCAACTGTTGGTTTCAAGAAAAATTGCCCTAGTTTTTATATCTAAAATTGAAATCGTATTACACACTGGTCTCTGAAGGTTTACAATGTTATTTTGTAAATATCTATAAAGATTGAAGGGATTGAATCCACAAAATAAAATTTAATTTGAAAAAAGTAACGTACAAATATAATTATTTTTTATTAACTATACCCTATTCTACTTTATAACGTTTGCCATTGGTAAGTTTATTTTGTTTAACGTTGGAAATGTAAATAAACTGCTAATTGTGGACACAAAAGTTGGAAAATAGTCTTGAGTTCATTGGTTTAGTTTTCTGTTTCAAACTTATTCCCTTCACCGTGTGAAAATATAAATTATTGTTCAAAGCCGCCATTAAACACCCTAGAAATTGAGACTTAAATCATAAGCAAAACCTGTAAAAGAATAATTATAATCCATCCTGTTAAAAAATGTAATTAAAAAGAAGTAAATAATATGTGGATGTCCTCCACCTTTAGGTGGAATATAGCGAAACGTGGACATATATGTATAGACAATGATGTGATGTATTCGTTGTCCAGCAGTTTGTAAACAAACAAAATGATCGTGTGTACTTGCCAAAGAGGTCAGCTTAAAATGTGCACCTTCGGTTGGCCACCAGAACTCAAGCGCCGGCCATGGTGATGGTGTGGGCCGCCAGAACAGCCGATGGTCGCTTTCCGCTCGCAAAAAAATATTATAATCCATCCTGTTAAAAAATGTAATTAAAATTTCCAAACAAACATTATATTGTTATATGGGACATTACAACCCCTAAATTAAGGCAGTGCCCAAAATATCTCTATTTCGACTCTAAATATATTTTCTTTTTATACATAGTATGGAGGGTATATTAAGTTCGTCATTTCGTTTATAACTCATCGAAATAATAATTTTAAAAGTATTTCTTCATTAGCGTAGAATTATAAGACGATTTAGCCATGTCCGTTCATCCGTGTCAAAACGAATTAAGATAGGAAGCTAAAATTTTTCTAGATAAGTCTTTTGTCTGCAGGCAGGTCAAGTTCGAAGATGGGCTATATCGGTTCCCAATATCATATAGCCCCCATATAACGGTACCCCCGATATTCCGTAATTTGATGAATTTAGTCAAACTTTTCAATGGAATTGTCTGAAAATATACACAAGGAGTTATTTGTGAGTACTTTACACCTTGGAAGAGTATTGTCTATATAGGTCCACGATATCGTATATCCCTCCCTATATTCGCTATTTTGATGATGAAATTATCTGAAAATCCACACAAGAAGTCCTCTCAAAGCATTTTATCCCTTGGAAAATATACTCCACGATATTGTACAGCCTTCATACAACGGCATTTAGAGTTCGACATTAAATTTCGCATTTAGAGTTATTAAAAAATTAGTATGCAGGACCATGTCTTCGCATAGTATTTTGATGATTTTAGCGACATTATTCACCGGAATTTTTTCAAATTTTATAGTTGAAGTTCCTAATGGGTACTTCAGCCTGTGACAGAAAAATTGCCTATTCGGGTCCAGGTCTTCGTCATATATCGATACGTCCTTATATTCGGTATTTTGACAATATTCACAGGAATTGAAGTTCGGAATAGGTACTACAGCCTGTGACATAAAATTGTATATGAAGGTACAGGTCCGTATTTCTTCCGTATTTTGATGATTTTAGCGACATTTTTTACCAGAATTGTTTCAAATTTCATATTTGAAGCTCCTAATGTATGCTACAGCCTGTGACAGAAGATAGTCTATGCGGGTCCAGGTCTTCGTATAGCCCCCATATATCGGTTCCTTCCTATATTCGGTTTTGTGATGATTTAAGATACATTGTTCATCAGAGTTTTTCAAGTTTCGTATTTGAATATTTTATTGGCCTTTGAAAAAAGTTGCCTATGCAGGTCCACATCTTCGTATAGACTACCCCCTATATTCGGTATTTTTAAAACATTAAAAGAATTATAAAGGAATTTTTTTTTTGAAAATTTTCAAATTCGTTCCAAATGGTGGAGGTATTCAAATTCGATCCGGCTGAACTTACTGCTTTTTTGCTTGTTAAAAGAAAACACTGTGCAAAACAAAAAGTAAGTACAGGAAAACCCCAGTAGATAGTGCAAGTTGAGCTAAAACATGTACAAAATTAGCTAAGTTTGGGCGTGCCGAACCATTAAGAAAAAGTTTGTTGAAAAATGCCGCTAAAATTTAAAAGAAGTAAATAATATGTGGATGTCCTCCACCTTTAGGTGGAATATAGCGAAACGTGGACATATATGTATAGACAATGATGTGATGTATTCGTTGTCCAGCAGTTTGTAAACAAACAAAATGATCGTGTGTACTTGCCAAAGAGGTCAGCTTAAAATGTGCACCTTCGGTTGGCCACCAGAACTCAAGCGCCGGCCATGGTGATGGTGTGGGCCGCCAGAACAGCCGATGGTCGCTTTCCGCTCGCAAAAAAATATTCTGGAGGATGAATTAAAGTTTTGGGCACACAAAAATTTTTGCCGCAGACCTTGGACCATCGCACTCAGCACGCGCCACAAAAATGGTTACAACTTGAGGTTCATCGCTTCATTTACAGCACACAATGGCCACCAAAATCTCCGGATATCAATCCGTTGGACTATTGTGTCTGGAGTATTTTGGAAATCAAGATAGACACTAAAAACTACCAAAGTGTCGATCACCTCAAGAAAGCGCTTCGCCGGGAACGGGCCAAAATACCGTAGAGCAACATTCAGGCAGCGTGTGACATTTTCATCGGCCGTTTGAAGACCATAATTCGTGCCAAAGGTGACCAATTCGAACAAATCTAAACTTATTCTAAAATTTGATGCTATTTCCGACATTTTTGCTTTCATTCAATAAAATTAAAAAAAAAAAAATGTAAAAATTATGGCGTTTGACTTTGTTGCAGTTTTTTTATCTCATCCTGTATATCCTATATATATGTTTCATCACAACAACCATATTTGGTGCCAGCTATCAGCAGAAATAACTCTGCTAAATTTTATAGAGATCGAGTAAGATTTGGATATAGCTCCCACATATATCTTCACACGATTTTACGTTTATATTGCCTAAAAAAAGTAATATCAGTTCACATAGGATGGATTTTGACAAATAATACGAATTTAAAACAATTATATTTGGTATGTTTTAGTTCTAAAAATTTCCCCACAAAAGCGTTTATTTGTTATATGTAGCTCTACTATATACAAAGTGGTTTAGGGTATCATAAAGTCGGCCCAGACCGACTTTGACCTTTCTTTACTGGTTTTCAAATATTTTAAGAAACATTAACAATTTACTCTGAACTACACATTCTATTTTAATTACTTTAAACATTTTCAAGGCTCTTGCTTTAAACTATTTTAGGCTGCATACATAATATCCAGCGTCAAGCACTTTTCTGTTCCATTGCGTCCAAGGAATGGATTCGGCATTGTGCGATTCTTGTAATCAATCATGTAGGAGGGTAAGCTAACAACGTTTTCGCAATAGTATCCTTTGTTAGGACAATTGGAAGATTTATCTCCGGTGTCATTAAGACAATTGTCAATGAGTGTGGTGGCACGTTGAATATTTGTTATGGTGCTGTTTTGAACTGAAAAACTACATTCGTGGGCCTGCTTGACATATACATTCGATGAACCCTTGGCTGTTTCCAATTGTGTAGAGAATGTCTTCTGATTACTAATTGTGTAAGCATTTGAAGCGGAAACCTGTAAAAGGAAGATATATATTTTGTTATTCAATAAAAAATGAAAATTCCATTCACTTACCACATCAGCTAAACAGTGGGTGTAATTTACCGGATAGGAAGTATTAAATTTAGTACGACAATTGGTAACACCTTTTTCAAAATTCCCAACGTAATAGTTACTCAAACTGCGATTGGTTGCGATCATATTTGTGATCAATGAATTCACTTGGCCCCGACCCGTTATCATGCAACGCTCCATCGAACTTTCGGCCGCAGCTTCTGAGGGTATCAATTGTTTGTACTTCTGGACACATTGTCTGCTAAAATCGCTCAGCACTGTCAAGGGCACTAAATATTCATTGACACGACAAATTTCTTGAGCCAGTGATTTTTTCTGAATCGAAATCGTATTAATGCGATCCAAATAGCCATTCCGGAAGGTTTCAATTTGTTGAGTATTGTACCAAATATGAAAATCATTTTGACGTCTCACTGATTCAATATACTCATCGTTGCGTATCAAAGAACTATTTTCACTGTTATAATAATTTATTAGACCAGTCTGAAAGTAGAAATCATAAATTTCAAAATCGTCGTCGGTGCGAAAATATTTTTTAAAAACTTTACTCACATTTTGTTGGGCCTTAACCACAACCAGTAGCGCTAAGAATGCCAAACTCTTTACAGAAATCATTTTTATTTAATTTTTTAATTTACACCCTTATGCGAATGTCTCCAAACCAACTGTTCTTTTGTTGTAAAATTGCACTGGTTTTTATATCTGAGTATTACATATTCCTGATTTCATCATCAAGTGCTGTTTTTTCTTTGTTATTTTTTTATTTTAATTTTTAATTAAATATCAACGAATGTCAGAATTTTAACCGAAATAAACCCTTTACTTGGAAAAGTTGTTCATAAAAAAGATACAAATTTTTATCAGTGGAAATCGTACACACTTTTTTCATTTTTTATTATGTTTAACTTTGACAGAATATTAAGGTAAATAATTGTTTTAACTATGGACATAATAACAAAACGCGGGAGTTTTTCGCAATTAGACAAACTAATGTAGATCTCTTATCGAAGAAAGGTAATTGCCTGATGCACATCTGTTTATGACTTCGAACATATGCTAACTGTTGGGGAATTTTTTTATGTCGGGGAGTGTATGGCAAATTCTAACCAGAGGAACGAAAACGCATATTTTCTATAACTTTAGCCTATGTATTTGTATTATTTGATATAACCAAAATTTATCTAATAGAAATAATGATATAAGACTCCATATCCCTTTTAAACGAAATCCTGTTTAGAATATTTCAAATCGAACGAGCCATGTCCGACCCAGTTTGGTCAAGTTGTTGAGCAAAATAACTTTTATAGTGGATAACCTATATAGTCCAAACTCTGCACATCATATGTCCACTGTAAGCGGACACCAACAAACCAACCAACCAAAATGTGTCTAATAGAAATAATTATATGAGACTCCATATACCTTAAAACGAAATCCAGTTTAGAATAGTTGGAATCGATCGAGCCAGTTTGGTATAGTTGGAGCGCAAAATTACACTTAAAGTGAATATCCGATATAGTTTAAACTGCGTACATCATATGTCGACTCTAAGAGATAATATTACAATTGATATACTATGGAGGGTATATTAATTTTGTCATTCCGTTTGAAACTTCTCGAAATACTCATGTCAGACCCAACAAAGTATATATATTTTTGATCAGCGTAAAATTCTAAGATGATTTAGCCATGTCCGTCTGTTTGTCTGTTGTAATCACGCTATCTTTCGAAAAAATTGAGATAGAAGGCTAAAATTTTGCACACATGTATATTTTGCCAGTAGGCAGGTTAAGTTCGTAAATGGGCCATGTAGGTCTAAGTTATCATATAGCCCCCATAAAACGGTACCTCCCGATATTCGGTATTTTGATGATTTTAGCGACATTATTCACCGGAATTGTTTCAAATTTGGCATTTGAAGTTCGTAATAGATACTGCAGCATAAAACAAAAAATGGGCCATGTAGGTCCACGTCTTCGTATAGACCCCATATACCGTACCCCCCGATATTTGGTATTTTGATGATTTTAACGACATTATTTACCGGGATTGTTTCAAATTTCGCATGTGAAGTTCGTAATGGATACTTCAGCCCATGCCAGAAAATTGTCTGTGCAGGTTCACGTCTTCGTATAGCCCCCATATAACGGTACCCCCTATATTCGGTATTTTGATGATTTTGGCTTTTGGCAGATTTTTCTTCAAGTTTCGCATTTAAATATTGTAAGAACTTATGACAAAAGTTGCCTATGCAGGTCCACTTCCTCGTATAGACATTCGGTATTTTTAAGATTTTAACAGAATTTTTAACGGATTTAATTTTTTTTTTTTGGAAATTGTCAAATTTGTACCAAATGGTGGAGGGTATTAAAAGTTCGGCCCGGCCGAACTTACAGCTTTTTTACTTGTTATAAATAACTAGCAGACCCGGACCGCGTTGCTGGCCCATAGTATTAGTGTTTAATGCATATTTTTAGGAACCTAATATAAGCTGTAAATGTTTAGATTTTCTTTTTGAAAAATACTAATCTTCTAATCTACAACTGCAGTCGATCCACAAATTTGCCACCATGCATAGTATAGAGGGTATATTAAGTTTCGTCTGTAATTCATCGAAATAATAATTTTAGACCTAACAAAGTATATATATTCTTGATCAACGTAAAATTCTAAGCCGATTTAGCCCTGTCCGTCTGTTGGTTTGTCCGTTTGTTGTAATCACGCTAGAGTCCAAACAGCATGTGATAGGAAGCTAAAATTATTCATTGATTTGTCTTTTGTCTGATGTTAGGTCAAGTTCGAAGATTGGTTATATCGGTCCACGATTTCATATAACCCCTGATATTCGGTATTTTGATGATTTTAGATACATTTTTCGCCGGAATTATTTCATTTTTCATATTTGAAGTTCCTAATGGGTACTACGCCCTTGAAAGAATTGCTTTTGCATGTTTAGGTCTACATATAGCCCTCATATATCGGTAACTCCCTATGTTCGGTATTTTGACGATTTTAGGTACAATTTTCACCGGAATTGTTTTAAAATTCGTATTTAAAGTTCCAAATATGTACTACAAGCTGTGACATAAAATTGTCTATGAGGGTACTGTTCTTCGTATAGCCCCCATATAAACAGTACCTCTCTATATTCCGTATTTTCACGATTTTAGCTACACTTTTCACCGGAATTGTTTAAAATTTCATATTTGAAGTTCCTTATGATTACTACAGCCTATGATGGCCCAGGTCTTCATATAGCCCCCCTATATCGGTACCTCCCTATATTCGGTATTTTGGTGATTTCTTTGAATAATGTAATGGCCTATGCAAAAAGTTGCCTATGCTGTTCCACGTCTTCGTATAGACCCCAATATAATTGTTTACACTATTTTTATACATATAGATTTAAAAAATAGTTCCTCTGACCTAAATAGATTATTAGGGTTGGAGGGAGAGTTAACAGTACCTCGTATTCTAACTTTCAAACAGATATCTTCATTATTTTGGCAAATATTAAGATTTTATTTTCTTCTGCATAAAAACCTCACTCGGGGTAGGACGAACATTTAAAAAAATTATTTTTGATTTTTATATATATTGATTGAATGCCTTAATATCATCAAAACTAAAGTCCGCAGGTTATCTACAACGTCAACATTTTTAAGCTATTTTTAGTTATTTTGTATATTATACTCTCTTAATACTTAATTTTTTGGAGAAAGTGTCCGAAGGAATCACATTCACATTTTATGAAATATGTGATAATGTTTGTAAAATGTTGGAACATGCGCGATGGCGGACCAAAGTATTTCACTTCATTTAGTATTGATAAAAATATTGGTACGTGCAACACTTAAGGAAAATGGAAAATGTAATTCAAACTTTATCCCAATAATCAACATGTTGAAATTTGTGAAGTTTAGGATTCCTTCTAAGATGCTTATTTCGCATTTTATGAGAGATATAATTATTCAATTTTGGACACGTTGTGGGGGAGGTACCGGAAGGAGATGTACAATATATCCCATCTTCACACCAGATAGTTTGTTAATAAAAATATTGAGATGTGTGCGATTTGAATACGATAAGACTGTTATTTCACATTTTACACAGGTTAGAATTTTTTCACACATTTTTACCCATTGTAGATGAGGTACCAGAATGCGTTGACCGATATCTACCGACTTCACAGCAGATTTTGTATTGATAGAAATATTGAGTCGTACCGAGTTTGAAAGGAATCGGATGATCATTTCGCTTGTTGTGGGGAGGTACTTGATGGAGTAAGCCGATATTGCCCATTTTAACCTAGTTCTGATACAAATATTGGGATGTACAAAGTTTGAACATAATTTCTTCTTATATTGGGTTTAGTAATAGAAAATATAAAAGTGTTTATTTTTTGTGGGGAAAGTACAAAAATGGGTTAACCGAAATCGCCGTCTCCGAACCCGATATAAGTTTGGATGTACCAAGTTTGGATTAAATCAGATACTCCCTTCGAGAGTTCTCGTTCGTTAACCAGCCAGACAGACAGATGGACACCACTAGGTCGACTCCAAATGTCCTAAAGCGGATTTGGTCCCAAGAGACCTAGGGTCTAAAACCGTTATTTCGATGAGGCACGTTTTGGCAGTATCAAATAATATACCCCCTTTGTAGCCATGTTGGTGAGGGTATAAAAAAATCCAATATTGGCTTAAAAAAAAAAAAAACTTTATTATATTAAATTTTTACAGCGAATACTACACATTAAATTTTGCGAAATATATCTCAAAATGTTTAGCTTCCCCTGCATGTACTTTGAACGGTTAGAGTTAAAAACTTGAAATTTGGAATGGGAATCAAGGTTGAGTGTCGATGTAAGGATAAATTTTGGAAGTGTGTATTCATATATACGAATAGTACAAAACGGTACTAAATTTAGTACAATTTGAATTTGGAGGAACGGGTGGAGCTGGAATCCTGCAATTCGAAATTAACATTTCTGGCGGAGTGTATGTGCACGAAACGTAATAAATGCTACCAAATTTAGGTGAACCGATAGAGCTGGAATTCTGAAATTTAGAAATAAGAATACTATTGAATTCTAGGACTAAGAAATGTACGTAGTTTTGGAAATTCGCACTTATGTGTACTAAATAGTACTAAATTTGGAACAATTTAATTTTGGGGGAACCAATAGAGTTGAAATCCTGAAATTTGGAAATAAGATATCTATTGCATTGTTGGGCTGAGGTATGTAGGTACTAAATGGTACTAAATTTGGAACAATACAGATTTTGGGTGAGCCGGCAGAGTTGGAATCCTGAAATTTAAAAATAAGATTTCTATTGGGCTGTATGATGTAGGTAGCTATGATCATTTTGTACTAAAGTGTACTAAATGGTACTAAAATTGGTAAAATTTTCGTTTGGGTGAACCAATAGAGCTAGTATCCTGAAAATTGGAAATAACATTACAGTCGGAGTGTAGGATTGGAATATGTAGGTATTTTTGGAAATTTGTACTTATATGTACTAAATTTGGTACAATTTGAATTTAGGTAAACCGATAGAGCTGCAATCCCAAAATTTGATATTAAGGCCACTGTTGCTGTCTGTGGTTAAGATATGGAGGTGGTTTTGGAAATGCGTTCTATATTTGTACGAAAAGTACTAAATAGTACCAAATTTGGATTTGGAAAAACCAATGTAGCTGGTATGCTGAAAATTGAAAATAAAATTGCCAATCGGGGTACAGAATTGGGATATGTAGAAATTTTTTGAAATTTAGTCTTATATGTATTTACTAAAATGTACTAAGTTTGTTTCAAATTGGATTTAGGTAAACCGATAGAGCTGGAAACCCAAAATTTGATATTAAGGTCACTGTTGCTGTCTGTGGTTAAAATATGGAAGAGATTTTGGAAATAGTACATATTGTACGAAAAGTACAAAATAGAACGACTCTACAATTATAAGGTGTAGTCTTCCCTGGCGAAGTACCAGGCACTTGCTAGTTTAAAATAAAATGTTAAAATAACCATAAATCCCCTCTTGGGTTCTTGAGCAGTGACATTATTTTGGTGATTCATTTCTATATCTAGTGCAAAATGCTATTATTTCTGCCGTTGCCTATTGAAATACCATTACCATACCAAACGTAAGTATTATCAAATTATTATTATCAAATGCTATAAATTTTAATCAAAAAAATTCACCCAGTCAAATTGATAATAACTTTCACCTAATTTGGAAATTATAAAAATAATTTACGATCATATTCTCGGCAGGGAAGAAAGCCTGCTAACTATTTTCCAGGTAAGAAAATAATCGCAAAATTGAGAATGTAAGCACAAAAGTATAAAAGTTGAGAACTTTATTTGAAAACATATCACTTCGATTTGGAAACATTTGGGAGAAAGGTAAACGGCACATAGCAAAAAACATGGCCCAAATAAAAATGTTGATATTTCTTGCAATAGTTTTTATTGCCAATGTTCAAAGGGTGAGTAAATAATTTCGAGAAAACCCCAAATCTATTATTTATTTCAAATTATGTTTCTAGTCTTCTGCTGTAAACCACTATGCCGCCCGCAATAGTTCGGTAATACGCAACGATGAGTACATCGAAATTGTCCGACATCAAAATAATTTCCACCTTTGGTATAATACTTTGCGAATCAACACCTTCTCTGACACTTACAAAGCCCGCATCAACGACATTGAATTTCACAAACAGTCCCTCTTAAATGTCGTCGAGCGGGCCAATGAAAAATTGGATCCATGGATTGTCTTGAATGATGTCAGCAAAGATTGTGTCGAAAAGTATAACAAGCTGATACCTTCATTGGCCGCAGCCAGTAGTGAAATGGAAAAGTGTATGGTGAATGGATTAGCCTGGACGAATAACCTAATTCAGACTATGGTGGCGACCAATCGCTCACTGGACACCTATTACACGGGAACCTTTGAGAAAGGCGTAACTAACTGTCGCACCAAATTCAATTCCTCATTCCCGGAAAATTACACCCGTTGTTTGGCCGATGTGGTATGTTTATTAAAACATAATTTTTTTTAAATCATGTCAATCATGAAAAATAAATAACTTATTTATTCGCTCCAACAGGTAAGCGCATCAAATATCTACACCGCCAGCAGCCAAGACACTTTTTCAAATCAACTACAGACTGCCTTGGGTTCAGCCGAATACTATATTAAAATAGCCCATGAATGTAGTTTTAGGGTTGCAAATACCAGCGTTTCTAATATCCAGCGGGCCAACGATCTCATCGACCATTGCCTCAATGGTTGGGATGAAAATTCGAAATGTATTGCCAAGGGCTTCTACTGCGAACAGGTGCAACGTATGCCATATTATTTGATCGATCGTTCTAACACCACCATGCCCAATCCATTCTATGGACAAAAAGTGACCGGTAATTGTCTGATGTTGGATATTGTCGATGAAAATTAATAGGGATTTTATTTAATAAATATTGAAATAAATTGAAAGCACATAAATTAAGAGCGTTTGGAAATTATTGATTTTGTTGGATAACACTGTATAACATTAAAGTAGAGCTTAAAATAGATATCGATATAAATCGGTGTTATGAAAGTTTAGATCTGCTAAAGGGTGGCAAGTTTATCCCACTACCACAATTATTCAAAAACGCTTGAATTAAGATACCTTCCAATCCACAGTGGTCGCTGCCATTGGCCAAAATTCAAAAAATGAAAATCAGATATTTATTGTCAAATGTGTACACATGAACTCTTAAGAGGTTAAGCTTTTTAGAAAACATAATAATCTTGGCTTCATTCTAACGGGACACTTCGAAAATAGCATCAAAAAAGAGAAAATGTAGTTAGCTGCTTTTTTCAGTGGGATCAGTAAAAAAAAGAGTAAAAATAGATCTGTATTACAAAATTAAATACATTTTAAAATTACAATTCTTGGCATAATTATTTAAAAGCAAGGTATTGACTTATTTTTAGTGCAGTAATTTGTGTGTTTAGTAGTTGTGTATAATATAGACGATGTGAGTGTTCTGACTTGCCATTAAGATTAATTTTGAAAATAAAATTGGATTTCAGTTAAAGTTTTAATTGTTTTCCCCCCTGAATCCTCAAATGTGATTTTTTTTCACGCCATTAGTAATGGTCCTAAGATTCAAGAAGTGCTAGTTTAACTTTCAGATTTTGTCAGATTTGTATGTTATGCCCAATATACTGAAGGGACTTCGCTCCAATTTTGTCAGTTCTATGGTGCTAGTGACATAGAATATTGATAAGGATATAATTGAGGGGTGTTCAATAATGTTGCCTGCATTGTCTTCTGGGTATAATATTAATGTCCAAAAATTTAAGGCCTTTGCACTGGAAACGGCTAAAGAGTTAACAAATAGATATCCATGGCACTATCTTTCACCCACAGCTAATAAAATTTTAATACAGGGTTGCCCATAGTCGACGGACCCATCTGGCAACGCCATAACTTTTGACAGAGATGTCACATCGCTTAATGACAGTCCGTCAGTCCAAGCAGATTTTTAACATGAACCAATACACAGCGCTCTGAAATAGTAGAAATTTACATTCAACAGAAGAAGTCAATTGTGAAAACTCAACGTGCTTTTAAAATATTAAAAAATGTGAGAAGTGCGCCTTCTAAGAACACCATTAAGCGTTTATACGAAAAATTTTCGACTGGTAAGGCTCTTTCTAATCCGAAGAGGCCATATAAAAGTCGACCAAGGCGATCGGCCGAGAATATCGCTGCCGTAAGAGCCAGTGTTGAGAGGTCCCCAAGAACATCCCAAAAAACGCCGTTCTCAGCAGTTGGGCATGGCTCGGTCCACTTTACAACGGATTATTCGCATTGATTTGCATTTGTTCCCGTACAAAATTCAATTGACGCAAAGAATGTTGCCTGCGGACAAGCCTCGTCGATTGGAATGGGCCCAAAGGTCCGTCGAATATGGACAACCCGGGATTTGTATAAAAAATACTTCTATTTTTGGAGGTACCTTTACAGAGGGACTCTACCTGAAGGCGGGCCGTTCCAAATAATTTTCAGTAAGACTATTTTTTAGCTCTTTAGAACGTAAAATGTCAAATAACAGAACAATCTAGTGTAAAATGTGACAAAAATTGGGCAAATAACCCTTATTCGGGAGGTACGTTGTAAGGGGACCATGCCAAAACATGCATCGACCATATCCATTTTGTCACATTTTTAATTTTTATCACCATCAAGGTACCATAACCAAAGAATCATATTGATATCTGCACTGAAAAGTATTTTTGGCCGCTGTTCCCATAGTGTCTTTAGCAATACTACTGATAACAGTAAGAGAAATGTAAACACTTAAGTGAATCACCAAAAGGGTATTTTTGTTTCTCAACATATGGTTAAAAATCTTCTACAAAATTACTTGTCATAAAATTCTACTATAGGTTATAAAATACATCGAGAGTCTTAATCTTAGCTAAACGTCAGAAAAGTTATCTAAATAGAGGTCGGCAAGCTTCCTCCGCTTAAACTTTTTCAAATATTTTATTTATTTTTTTTTTCATTTGGATTAAGATTCCATGAAATCTTTAATTTTTGGTATATCGTGTCTTCGGCAATGTTTCTGATGAGGATATAATGATTATTTTGGTTGAAAATTACACCTTTTCTTTTTGATCTTTGTGATCCTTTTTTATACCCTCTGCCATATAGCTAGAGAGGGTATATATGGTTTGATATGGTCAAAACGTGAATAGTCGAAATAACATTTTTAGACCGTAGGTCTCTTTGGACCAAATCCGTTTCAGGACAATTGGAGTCGATCTGGCGATGTTTATCCTTCCGTGCGCACGATAACTATCGAAGGAGTAATATTTTATGGAGTTCGGAGATGGGCAATATTGGTCCACTCCTTCTGGTACCTCCCCTCAAAAGGCTGAAATTTTCAAAAATTATATTATCTGCACAGAAAGACAAACGTGCTAGGTCAGGTGCGAAAATGGACAATATCGGTCCAGTCTATCAAGTACTTCCCCCACAAAGGTTAAAAATTTTGAATGATTACAACTCTTATAAAATGTGCTGTAGGAGTCCGATTGTTTTCAAATATCACACATCCTAATAATTTTATTAACCCAAGGTCTGGTGTTAAGATTAAATATATCGGTCCACTCGTTCTGGTACCTCCCTCACAAAAGGTCGAATTTTCAAAGAATAAAATGGACAATATCGGTCCAGTCTATCAAGTACCTCCCCCACAAAGGTTCAAAATGTTGAATGATTACAACTCTTATAAAATGTGATGTAGGAGTCCGGTTGTTTTCAAATATCACACATCCTAATAATTTTATTAACCCAAGGTCTGGTGTAAGATTAAATATATCGGTCCACTCGTTCTGGTACCTCCCCAACAAAAGGTCGAATTTTCAAAAAATATATTTTCTGCACAGAAAGAGGAACGATAACCCGATTTTGCTTCAACTTTACAAATCCGAATATTTGTGTCAATGCTGGGTCAGGAGCGAAAAGGGACAATAGCGGTCCACTCTATCAAGTATCCCCCACAAAGGGTCAAAATATTGAATAACTACAACTCTGATAAATGTGATGAAAGAGTCCGATTGTTTTCAAATTTCAGACATATCGGTCCACTCCTTCTGCTACCTCCCCCACAAAAGGTCGAAATTTTGAATACTCAGTAAGTTCATAAAACGCGAAATAAACATCTGATTCCATTGAGACTTGCTAAATCTGAATATTTCTATCAACACAGGATCTATTATAACGGCGGTAGACGTTACCTTTTTATATTCGGATTTTGATGATTTTAGCTATTCACCGTATTTTTATCAAGTTTCGCATTTGAATATTATAATGGCTTATGACTAAATTTGGGTATGCAGGTCCACGTCTTCGTATAGACCCCAATATAACGGCTATATACTCTATGTTAAAGATTTTAACAAAGTTTTTAACAGATTTTATTTTTTTGAAAATTTCCAAATACATATATTGCAAATGGTGGAGGGTATTAAAAGTTCAGCACGGTCGAACTTACTGCTTTTTTACTTGTTTTTACTTGCTCTACTTTCATAGTCTTCTAACAATCGCCCATAATAATTTCTTTTGCTGCAAAGTTTTACCAAAATATTATTATCAATAATAAATAATGCCCACATTGTCATTTCGAGGAAAATAATTAATCTTTATTAAGTACGCAATTAATATACACACATTGAATGATGATTAATTATTTTCTTTTCAGATTGTTATCAATTTAGGTGAACTCCAAGAATCAACTCGAAAATATATGACCTAGACATTCGAGTTTTCTTGGTACCCCAACAGTTGATAATGAAATTGCTTAAAGTAATTCCCAGAATGGAAAATCTGATAAGAAATGTGTCGAACGGTGTTTGACAGATAAGACCGGCACAGAGGGTATCCCCAATGCTAAAAATAAATATAATTACGTACCAACATACATACTAGTATATCTCAAGGCGGAACATTTAAGAAAGACAATATAATAAAAAAAAAACACTTTTGATAAGCTTTAATTTCTTTGGGAATATACTATATTAAGATTGATAAGACTATGAGAGATTATATTCTTGTTTGCAATATTTAAGCAGGTGTTTATGTGGGAGAGGCGAGATAGTAACTGCACAGATTGCTATGGTGGGTGTGCTACTAACAGTATAGAAATTACCAAAAAAAATATACTTTCAATTTGTTTATTGCTGTCACAAAATACAAAAGATAACAAAATGAATGGTAAGCATACCTTTGTTTACTATTTCATATGATCGACAAATTATTTAAAGTGGCTGGGGCGACATCTAGTATAAGATAGTACACATGAGGGTGTCTCTGCTAATTGATCAATTAAGGCACATACGTGCATTCTGCTTTGTACGGGTAGAGGGCTACTTTAATCTAAAAAATAAAATGCGTTTTGGTGACTAATCCGATATTTGCACGCAGATGGTTTTGTGAAAGATGATCCGAGTTTTTAGGATATTAATTTTGAATAAGGATATTAAAATTACCATATATTTTAAAATCAGAAAATTGTCCTTATCTGTATATAAGTTTTATAATTTTAATATTTAAACAAGTAAGCAAAGGCTACAGTCGAGCGGGGCCGACCGTTGAATACCCTACAACACTATAATAAACCATACAGTTGATATAGGCGAGATACTCGAAAGAATTCCACAAGATTTTGTGACAAATAATAAAGGAAAACCATCAGGTTTCGTTCTCTAATTTTCGAATAATAGCAACTTAAACTAATTTGCTCATTTCCAATTTATTGGTAGATGTTGCACGTAAATGGTCTTCCTAGATCTGGAACCAATATTTCCCAAAAAATGAGAAACAGACATTTGACTATATTCTTCAACGAAATCAGCGTTAACGAAATAGTCAGAAGTGCGTCTTTCCTGTATTTGTGAATTCTCCAAAAAGTCACTGGAATCGACATTTTCGTATTTTGTCTACAAAAT